TGGGAATGAAAAACGGCATCAATCAGACATCTGGCACTGAATTAATTCCCCCTTAACTAGTTAAAATTTTCCAGCAATTTTTTTTTTTTTCAAGTTGCCACCTGAGTAAATCTTAGACCAAGGCCAATCTGTCTCCAGCTACCGACCTGACTGTTTGGCTTCATGAAACACTGATAAGCACCTTTGTACACCGTCTTCATCCAAGTGTTCTATTGTCACCTTAGGATAAATTCCTGGAAAGAGTGAATAAATGCCTTGGGTGGTTTTTTACATTTATTGACAGTTTCTATCACTTTTGTGAATTACTTGTTCACATCACTACCTATTTCTTTTTTTTTTTTTTTTAATCACTACCTATTTCTATATCAGGTTTATGCTTTCTCTACTTAATCATACATTCTCTTCTATGTTACTGACACTCACCCTCTGTCAAACTTTTTGTCAACATCTTCCCTCATTTTCTATCTTTTTATCGAATGAGCTTTCAAACCAACAAATAAGCACCTTTTTATATAAACAAGGAAGCAGACTTTCTCTTTGCTATTACTGTCAGTTGTGTGCTGGTGAATCAGGCTGACTTCCCAGGTGGCTCAGTGATTCTATCTTTTTATCGCATGAGCTTTCAAACCAACAAATAAGCACCTTTTTATATAAACAAGGAAGCAGACTTTCTCTTTGCTATTACTGTCAGTTGTGTGCTGGTGAATCAGGCTGACTTCCCAGGTGGCTCAGTGGTAAAGAATCTGTCTGCCAAGCAGGAGACATGAATTCAGTCCCTGGGTTGGGCAGATTCCCTGGAAAAGGAAATGGCAACCCACTCCAGTCTTCTTGCCTGGGAAATCCCATGGACAGAGGAGCCTGGTGGGTTACGCCTCCCAAGGTTGCAAGAGTCAGGCGTGACTCGGTAACTAAGCAACAACCACCTAGGGTAAACCAGGCTACAAAAAACAAAAAGCCTCATTTCTTTTTTTAGCACTTGCCATTATCTATGGTTTAAGTAGTTCCACTATAGCTGATTTCTAGCTACCAACTGACCTGCTTGCACAATTCCTTAATATTTAACCACTGGTTCTCACAAGTCTTTATAAATCAGCTCCATCAGACTACTGCTACACTTTGCTTTTAGGTTAAAAGAGTTCTTCATAACAAGGTCAGATAAATACATGTGGATATGTTCTTCTCAAGGGTTTCCCAGGTGGCTCAGTGGTAAAGAATCTGCCTGTCAATGCAGGAGACACGGATTTGATCCCTGGATCAGGAAGATCCCCTGAAGGTGAAAATGGCAACCCACTCCAGTATTCTTGCCTGGGAAATGTCATGGACAGAGAAGCATGGCAGGCTGCTGTCCATGGGGTCGCATGAGTCGAACACGTCTGAGCAATTAAGCATGCACGTGCGTTCTTCTCAAAGGTCATATTTTTAGTTAATTTAATTTTCTATTATCCAAGAATGTGCTTACTGAGGAAAACTCAGGAAATACAAATAAATAAAGATAAAATTTCAAATCAATAATAAGGAAATACAAATAAATAAAAAATTCAAATCAATAATAATCTTACCAGATAGAGACATAATACACCAGTATCATTTTTGTAGCAAACATGCAGACTTTTTAATATTTATATAAACATGCTTTAGACTCTTGATGCCGGTCACTAAATTGCCAGGCAGTAAATCTGCGCAGTTTACACACACACACACACACACACACACACACACATTCCTCAGATGGCACTGGACCAAGTATTCTGTTTAGTAATCTCTTAATGTGGGTTAGATCCCTGTGTTGGGAAGATCCCCTGGAGAAGGGAAAGGCTACCCACTCCAGCCTGGGGAATTCCAGTACTCTGGCCTGGGTCACAATGAGTCAGACACGACTGAGTGACTTTCACTTTCTTTTTTCTTAATTAAACCAGCTGGTTCTACAGAGAACAGTGTCGGGTGTAGACTAGAACTTTTCCTATGACTTGGGTCCAAAACCAAGGACTAGGAAGTGTAATTTACCCCCTACTCTAAGGAGAGCTGCCAACAATTGGGGCCAGCACTTCCTGAAGCAGTTGGATCAGATAGTGCACAGCCCCCTCCTTGCCATCCTCACATCTTCCCCAGGCACACAGGCATACAGTGAGGCAGTGAGGGTCAGCAGCGCTGAGTATCTGCTTGTGATGTGAAGCTGCACCCTGTGAAATGGGGAAAGGAGATGAGCTTAAATGGAATCGGAGATTGAAAATGCTAAGCTACATTGCATTGTTAATACCTCAAAAGGACCGCAGAGGTCCGAAATCTGCTCACAAAAACTACTTCAGACTTAGACTTGACTGTTGAGACTCCTTATAAACTAACTGTAACTAGAAAGCTCCAAAAAGTCCCTGTGGCTTTAGAAATCCCTTGAAGTCCCTTTCACTGCCTATAATTTATTCTCATTCTCTTCTTATCAAACCAATCTCTGGAAATCTGGAAGAAATTGACTTCCTCTTTTCCCAGCGTGTGGGTTTTTCTTTTTTCCTTTCTATATTCTCATTCTCACTAGGCTTCCCTGCTGGCTCAGATGGTAAACTATCCGTCTTCAATGTGGGAGACCTGGGTTCAATCCCAGGGTTGGGAAGAGCCCCTGGAAGAGGGCATGGCAACCCACTCCAGTATTCCGGCCTGGAGAATCCCATGGACAGAGGAGCCTGGCAGGTTGCAGTTCATGGGGTTGCAAAGAGTTGGACATGACTGCACATCAAAGCATTCTCCTCCATTTATATTGCAGACATCCTAGTCATGTCTCTTAACCATGCTCTCGCACCCCTCCATCCCATTCTCTCTGCCAATCTCTCCCTTTCCTGGACTTCAGAACTGTGAGAAATACATTACTGTTGTCTAAGCCACCCAGACTGTGGTGTGTGGCATAGCAGTCCTAGCAGACCCATACACCATTCCTCTCAATGATGGTCACCAGTCAGGCAGCCCCTCTCCCCTCCTTCATCCCCATCCTCATCCCCATCCTCACAGCAGGTCCTGACAAGGGGCTCAACATTTATTATAACTGCAAGGGGAGGTCATTAGAACCTTTTAAGCAGGGGGATGGCTTAAAATAATTTCTATTTTAAGAATAATTCCTCTGATTGCTGTTTGGAGAATGTATGAGGCAAGAGTGAAATCAGGGAGGCCAGTTAGGTTACCGTAGTCACATTGGTGGCTTAGTCAAGACAGACGTCGGGAAGTCAAGAAGAAATCCAAAGCCATCTCCCTACAGGTCTAGAACTTCTACTTCACGACTCTTTAATCACCCTTTTCAATCCAAGCCTCTGAAGATGGATAACATGAGTTGATAGTTACTGGCCTCTTTCTGCTATTTTTTAGTAAGTCCAACCTGGCTTTGTCTAATATCTGTTTAAAATGTGCTGATATTTACCACCTTTTTGCAGTTTTGAGGCATTCACCAAAATTCTAACACAACCAGAAATTCCTATTCAATAATCAGTTATAAATAACTTTGGCTTGGCAAGCAGGTAAATCATGTTGGCCTCAACAGCCTATAACACATACATATTTATAAATAGTTGTTGTTTATTTACTCGGTCACATCTGACTCTGCAATCCATGGACTGTAGCCCACCAAGCTCCTCTGTCCATAGGATTTTCCAGGTAAGAAGACTGGAGCAGGTTGCCATTTCCTTCTCCAGGGGATCTTCCCGACCCAGGGATCGAACTTGCTTCTCCTGCTTGGCAGGCGGAATGTTAACCACTGAGGCACCTGGGAGGCCCCATATATATATGTGTGTGTGTGTAAAATGCCATTAAGTTGCCACTGATTAATTCCCTATTTGTATAGCAAGGCCAAACATTTTGTAAAGTATTACTCAGATGTGAAGAAAAAAGGGTCTTTAATTTCCGTATCAGGTCTATTTTCTCCCAAAGTAGAGCAGGATGACAGAGCCGACCCCAAGCCTGATGAAGATCCACAGGACTCTCCAAGCACCACTGCTTACAGTTCTGCGGCTGACTTTTTCCTTGTGGCCAGCAGGCCTCATGGACTCCTGCTCACACAACATCCNGTAAAATGCCATTAAGTTGCCACTGATTAATTCCCTATTTGTATAGCAAGGCCAAACATTTTGTAAAGTATTACTCAGATGTGAAGAAAAAAGGGTCTTTAATTTCCGTATCAGGTCTATTTTCTCCCAAAGTAGAGCAGGATGACAGAGCCGACCCCAAGCCTGATGAAGATCCACAGGACTCTCCAAGCACCACTGCTTACAGTTCTGCGGCTGACTTTTTCCCTGTGGCCAGCAAGCCTCATGGACTCCTGCTCACACAACATCCACTCGGGAAAGGAGAGGGGAAGGGTCCCCGAATGACTGAGCATTCATTCGACAGAGGCTGTTTCAATTTGAAACAGAATGGTTAAACCAGAGAGACTGAGTTACCTGTAATCAGCAAGTCTGAGCGCTAGCTCAGGCCCAGCTTCCTTTCCAGTTCAGCTGAAACATGGTTTTCCATAAGTCTTCCCTGCATTCATGGAAATAATGGAGGCAGCATCCAGAAATAACTTGAAACCAGTGTCCATCAGAATCCAAGTGAATGATGGTCTCTTAAATTGGATTTCAGACATTTTATTTTTTTAACATAAGAATCAGGCCAATCCTCTGCCACTTCACTGGATACTTGGCCGACACTTTGGATAAACTCTCTCAGCTCACAGGAACATTGGAATGGATTGTTCCCTGCTTTGAGGGACCTAATCTTCTGGCAGCTCTGGAAGAAATCAGCTGATGGATTGGAAATTGAATTATAATCAATGATCAGTATGGAAAGGCTGCTAAAGATACCACATCCAGGAAGGTGGGCTAAAGAATTGGAAGCAAGGTTGAGTTCTTGCAAAGTTCCTAGACCAGTGACATCTTTAGGGATGCTCCTTATTCTGTTATTGTGAAGATCAAGAACCTTGATCTGAGGAGGTAAACATCTGAAAACAGAGTCAGTGAGTGCATTTGAAGATAAATTTAACACCACTATACTCCCAGCCCAAGTACAATTTCCGTTATATCTGTCATATTCCAAAGAATTCCAGCTAACATCCAGTGTTTCCAAAGAAAGCATATCCTTAGTCATGAGACTTGTTTTGAAAAGGTCTTTTAATTCATTCTTTTGTAAAATAAGTGTCTCCAATCTAGTTAAAGTGCCACAATTTTGAAAGACACTATCTGTGATAGCATTCTGGGTAAAGTTCAGAAACTTAAATGTGCTTGGTCCCTGAGGACAAAGCATGTGTATAAAGCGTGTGTCTGATATGGTTAACATCAGAATATTCATCTCAGAAAACAGTGTGTATACTGCTGCCTGTGAAAAAATAAAAACTTCATTTGTAATATCTTCTATTTTCAGTGCCTTCAATGTCGTTTTATAATAAGTAAAAACTTCTTCATCAATTTTTTCAACTATTGTTAAATTGTAAATATTGAGATATTCTACAGGTTTGGGCCAAAGGAATTGAAAAACTTTAACCAAACATTTCCAAGTTGTTTTCATATGGTTGAGGGTAAAATTTAGTAAGGTTGGTCCTCCAGTGAGTCCTGATAAAAATTTAAGTAAAACTTGACAATTGTCATCATTCAATTTAATATTAGTCAGTTGTAAGCACCCTAAACTATTCACTGATATGTTCACTTGGACAGAGAAAAAGCTATTTGGGTGAAAAACAAGGTGAAGTTTCTTTGTATTCAGAATTTGAAGGCTTTCTTTCTTATTTTCTTTCATATAATAATCTTCCAAATCCAGAAGGATACAACTTAGGTGCAAGTGAGCAACTGGTAGCAGATCTAATTGTTGTAACTTTGCAGCACCCAATCCTAAGAAATTCAGTTGGGTCAAGTTGCCAAATTCCTTACAGATGGGCAGGGCATCAAAGTCATTGAATGAGAGGTCTAAGTGCTTGAGACTCGTGGTGATTGGATGGCAAGATATCTTCTGCAGCTGATTGTGAGATAAATCCAAATATTCCAAATGATGGTTGAACTTGAAAATACTAACATCAAGGCCCTGGATTCTATTATGGGAAAGTCTCAGAACTTTCAGCCCTGAGAGAAAGCTGACATCAGACAGGTGAAGCTCAGATATGTTGTTTTGAGACAAGTCTAAGACCTCAGTTTTTGGTGGCAGGTCTTTGGGAACATGAATAAGGCTTGTTTTTGACATGTCTACCACAAATTCGCTTTCAACAGAGAACTGGATTATGGTTCCAAATACTAAGGCCACGATGTAAATAAAATGACAGCTTCTGATGGGAGATTCTTTGTCTTTGGTCATGGCGTTGAAGTGACTATCTCCCGGAGGGTTGGTGCTATTCTTCAAAACATCCTGATACGCATCCAATTCTAGAAATATAATATATGTTAAGATGTATAAACACTGGCTGATTACTCTCAATCCTCAGCTTACTAAACATGAAATCTCAACAAGTTCTTCATTTACTATCAGGATCATTTCTGATCCCATAATTTAATATGCCATTTTTTTTCCAGTTATGCAAGTTGCTGGTGCCAGGAAAGGCAATGAAGACCTTGTTATCAAAGAACTGTGGCGGTTGTTCCACCCAGGAGCCTGTCTTTGTTTATTCCAATTCAAAACTTTCTCAGGGCTGAAGCAGCTTCCTGGACAGTGTTTGGAAACCCTTAAAGGCATGTACACTACCCACAGCCACCTGGAGCCAGGGACAAGGGATGGGGCAGGCAGCACATATACCAAGACCAGAAAGAAAGAAGCTGGGAAAGAAGATACAGGGGAGAAAAAAGGCTTTGGACAGCTCCATGTATACCAAGCAATTGAGAAGGCCACATACATGCCCAGGTCTGGATGCACGCTCAGAGAAGACCTGAAAAAAATCCTAAACTTCCACCACTGGTTGACTTTTAGGCTCTGTGCAAGGGGAAAGTAAAGGCTAAGTCAGAGTTGTAACAGCCTGACAAGCCCTGAAGAAGTGTTTCCAAAAAAGCCAATATGCAAAGATCAGGCGTTTTTTGTTTTATTCTGTTTTCCCCAGATGTTTAAGAAAACCTCTGCCAAATCCCTAGCTGACCACTAAGCCAATGGAACAGAGAATTCAATGGGGACACACAAGAAGGAAAACAGTCTTTACAAAAATAGTTTAGAAACATCACTAAACACGGCGCTTCCCTGGTGGTCCCCTAGTTAAGAATCCACCTGCCAGTGCAGGGGACAGGAGTTTGATCCTTGGTCTGGGAAGATCCCACATGCCTCGAGGCAAGCAAGCCGGTGAGCCACAACTACTGAGCCCAAGTACCACTACCACGGAAGCCAGAGCAGCCTAGAGCCTGGGCCCCTCACCGAGAGGAACTTCCACGACGAGACGCCCACTTGCCGCAACCAGAGACAGCCCACGTGCAGCAATAAGATCCAGCAGAGCCAAAAATAAATAAATAAAAAAGTGAAAAAAAAAATCCAAAAAAGAGGGGGCATATAAATACCTATAGCTGATTCACCTTTCTGTACAGAAGAAACCAATACAACATTGTGAAGCAACTATACTCCAAGAAAAAAAAAATTACTAAACAAACAAATACACCCCACAGCAAGCAGCAACAACCAACCCTGGGAAAGAGGAAAAGCTGACTTGCCACATTCTAGTATCTCCAGAGTTACCACATTATAATATTCAAACTGTCTGGTTGAAGAAAACAAGCTTGAGGCATGTGGACAAAAAAGAAAGCACTGTCCGTTCATAGGGAAAAAAATTAAAAAAAACAAACTTAGAGAACTGACACAACCCAACTTCAAGTCTTACATAAAGCTATAGCGATCAAGACAGTGTGGTACTGATAAAAGAATGGACAGACAGATCAATGGTTCAGAAGAGACAGCTCAAAAATACACACACACAAATACAGTCAGCTGATCTTTGACAAAGAAGAAAACTCAGAGAAGGAAGGCTAGTCTCTTTAACAAACAGTACTGGAACCACTAGACATTCTACATACAAAAAAGAAAAAAAAAAAAGACGGTCTAGCTCAAGATAGATGTAAAATACAAAACTATAAAATTTCTAGAAGATAATATAGGGTAAAATCTAGGTGACCATGAATTTGGCAATGACTTTTAGACACAACATCAAACGCACAATCCAAGAAAGAAAAAAATGTTAAATTAGACTTCATTAAAATTAAATTTTTCTGCTTTGCAAAAGACACTATTACAAATATGAAAAGACAAGCCACAGACTGGGAGAAAGTATTTGCAAAACACACATCTGATAAAGAACTTGTATCCAAAATAAATGAAGAAAAACTCAACAAAATATAAACAATGCAACTTAAAAACAGGCAAAAGATATTTCACCTAAGAAGACATACAAATGACAAATAAGGACATGAAAAGGTACTCAATACCATGTATCATCAGGGAACTGAAAATTAAAACAGCAATGAGGAACTACTACATACCTATTAGAATGGCCAAACAATCCTGAAACAACACTAAATGTTGGTGAGGAGATGGAGCAACAGGCACTTTCATTAACTGTTGAAATTCAAAAAGGCACAGATACTTTGGAAGACAGTCTGACAGTGTTTTTACTTAAAGCTAAACACGGCCTCACCATATGATCCGGCAATCACACTCCTAGGTATTAACCCGAACGAACTGAAGATCTGTGTCCACACAAAAACCTGCAGCTGGGTGTTGACAGCTTTACTCACAACGGCCCCCAAACTGCAAGCAACAAGATGCCCTTCAACAAGTGAAAAGGGTAAACAAGCTGTGCTCCATCCATCCAATGGATTGTTATTCAGCAACAAAAAGAAATAACCTGTTGAGCCACGGAGGAACCAAAATTCAGATTGCTAAGTGAAGAAGTCAATCAGAAAAGGCTACCAACAGTATCATTCCAGCGCTCTGACGTTCTGGAAAAGGCAAAACTAAAGAGGCATTAAGGATCAGTGGTTGACAAGAGTTAGGAGGAGGGATGAAGAGGCAGACCACATAGGATTTTTAGGGCACTGAAACTACCTCCATGTGATACTATAATGGTGGATATATGATCTTATGCATTTGTCAAAACCTATAGGACAATGCAAGCCAAAGACTGAATCCTAATGTAAAGTACAGATGTTAGTTAATAATATGTCAATATCAGTTCATCAATTATAATAAACAGACCACTAACAAAAAATGTTATAACAGGGAAAATTGTGTCGAGTGAAAAAAGGGATATATGGGAATTCTCTAACCTATTTACTGAAATTTTCTATAAACCAGAAACTTCTCTAAAAAATAAAGTCCATTAATTTAAAAAAAAAAAAAGGAGAAGAAAAGAAGTCAATAGAAACTGTCCCCGAAGAAGCACATGCACTGATTTGTTTGCCAAAGACTTTAAATCAATTGTCTTAAAAGTTCCAGAAACTATCAAACTCCTAGAGGAGAACATAGGCAAAACACTCTCCGACATAAATCACAGCAGGATCCTCTATGACCCACATCCCAGAATTTNCTGAACAGTAAATAGCATCCAGGCTGAAAGAACTGTGTATGAACTATAAATACCATGTAGGGAACCTGAGCTCTATTTCCTCTCCTGTATCTTTCTTAGTAAAGTGGGACCAAGTGTGGCCTGGGCTTCCCAGATGGCACTAGTGGTTAAGAATCCACCTGCCAATGCAGGAGATGTAAGAGATACAGATTCCATCCCTGGGTGCGGGAGATGCCCTGGAGAAGGAAATGGCAACCCATTCCAGTATTCTTGCCTAGAAAATCCCACGGACAGAGAAGCCTGAAGGGTCACAGTCCATGAGGTCACAAAGAGTTGGACATGACTTAATCGATGGAGCACGCAAGTGTGGCCTATTGGAGTTTGTGCATCTGAATTTTGAAATGAGCCTGAGAGGGCCTCGGGATGAGTGTTGCAGATCCATGCCAACAGTGGGCTAGATCTTCAGATCCTCAACTCAATTTGGCTAAAGCAATATGAAATGAAAAGGATGGGGAGGAAGGTGGTTGACAAGTCCCTGAGGCCTGATTGGAAGGCCCATCCACCAGCAGCTTGACCCCTAAATGTCTATGGCATATGACAGGGGGTGAATCCTTTTGTGAGGGTAGATGAAAATGTGAGAAATGAGAGTTGGACCATAAAGAAGACTGAGCGCTGAAGAATTGATGCTTTCTAATTGTGGTGGTGGAGAAGACTCTTGAAAGTCCCTTGGACTTTAAGGAGATCAAACCAGTCAATCCTAAAGGAAATCAACCCTGAATAGTCATTGGAATGATTTATGCTGAAGCTGAAGCTCCAACACTTTGGCCACCTGATGCGAAGAGCTTACTCATTGGAAAAGACCCTAATGTGGGGAAAGACTGAAGGCAGGAAGAGAAGGGGTGACAAAGGATGAGATGGTTAGATAGCATCACCAACTCAAGGGATGTGAATTTGAACAAATTCCAAGAGATAGTGGGGCACAGAAGAGCCTGGTATACTGAAGTCTATGAGGTCCCCAAGAGTCAGACATGACCTAGTGACTGAACAACTACGTGAAGATAGGAATGAGGCCACATTTATGTTACAAGAAAGAACTACTTACACTCTCTAATTCCATGAACCGGACTTCACCAAAACCAGCTGCAGCTGGCCTGGCAGAGATAACGCTACTCTTTGTGAAGCCATTTGAGAAGATACAGTTAATACAGGCCAAACCTGGCAATGATGACTAGCTGACAGGTGAAGGCGGATGCACCAGCCCACAGACCCCCTGACTGTGACTGAGACAGAGAGGTAACTAAAATTATGCCAAAGGTCAAGCAAGAAGCCAGTCCCAGCAATTCAGACACACACTCATAAGTCTATGCCACTCCAGGTCTGATCTGCACAGAAAAATACTTACGAGCACCCACAGGGGACAAGATTCAGCCAGGAAAGACCAGGACCCACAGCCCTAACTCCCACAGCAGCATCCTGAGAGCAGCAGTGGGCGCTGTGATGGCCACAGAGCAGCCTCCTACACCGACACTAGAATGCCCACACCACACCTGCCTGGCACTACCCACAGGAAGAGGTTAGCAGTGCCTTCACAGACCCACAAGGGGCAGTTGATATAACACACATACTCTGCTCTTTCCATTCACAGGAAAATGTTTTTAGTTATAGGATCTTATTTTCAGACATACTTCCCATACAAATGGGTATAGGTTTTTCCAATTCGCATTAGACCAGAAGCACCAAATTCAGAGAGGCAGGATTTGGCACTTGATAATCTGGAATCTTCAAATTCCTATAGTTGACAGGCTAATAAAAGAGGAGATGATACAGAAATATTTAAAAGTTTGTTGAAGGAATCAGAAGACACGTCAGAATAAAGTGGGCACGTATAAAAGA